AACATGCTGATTGGTTGAGTTCACACAGCATTGTATTTCAACCACCATATATTCGCATATATTTTTTTAAATATTACTGTTATTATGTCATGAAATGTAGTTTTAAAAGTATTTCAGGTGAGAATGTAGTAAATCTGCGGTTTATTTATAAAGACAGCGTCTATTTGAAAATGTGCTTTGCCGATTTCGGAGTCGTGAGCTCCACGCGATCAGTGGGCGCTCAGTGTTCATGTTTCCCGACGAGAGCAGCCTCAACTCGGCTAGTCCTTCTGACATTTGCCGCTGGCTCTGATGGGTAAATCTAACAGGTAATCGTTGGTCTTTATTCTATTAATCTATTAATTAATGTTCTTTTTAGCAACATCATATGACCCCTTTAAAATGAAAATGAAAAGAGGCAATACTGTTTGATATAATTTAGTTTCATTGTAATGTATGTACGTCCCCTGAACTACTTTTCTGCGGCCATTAATATGTTTAAATGAAAATTTAAAAAGGCAGTGGTGTTTGATATCATATTTCGTCTTATTGTAAATACAGTGAGGAAAATTGCAGTAGCCAAGGCGAGCTGACTGACATTATCAAGTACGCTGCTGTTTGCAGAATTACCGGACTTGCGTCGTCCCGTCCGCGGGAGTTCACACTCCTAAGTCTAACTCGCGAAGTCCGAACTACAGAGGATGTCCGAAATTTGCGTACTTGGTATTGAGAAACGTGCGCAGACCTACGTCACCAGACCATTTGCCTTATCTTCTCGGTACTTTAGACCGCGATGGAAACACAGACAGCAACAGGTCTGGGGGAAAAAAGTTCCTGGGACAAATTGTTCCAGGTAATTTCGGTGGAAAAGCGGCTTATGACAGATAGGATAGTAGTTTAGATAATTTAGTATGGACAGTGGTACATACTAAAGGTAAAAAAAAAAAAGAGATTTGACTTGTTTAAATGTTGCAGAACTTCCTGTTGAACATCTCCACACGTATTAAATGTTTAAAACCAAACCTGTGCTCTGAGCTGTGGCAAAACACGTCTTCCTGACCCAATTCCATCAACTCTCATACAGTTTGTGGCCTGTACAGTTTGGCTTTGGTCTGCCAACACAGGGCCGTATTTTTAGGGATTCCTGTTTGGGATGGGAGTGACCAGCCTTCCCTGGCAGGCTGTAAATCTGAGCTGGTGGAGGTTGGGAGAGGCTGGCATGAGTGAGGGAGTTGTGCTACACACACCTGCGGAAGATGCCAGCTGGAGAGGCGTCTCGACGTTGCTCTCCTGTCCGTTACGGACGGCTGCTCCTTCCACATTCGCCCCGGCATCTAACAGAAGCTGAAGATACAGACATACATGTAGGTTAGGAGAGCAACAACAAAACCTACTGCTGACAATGGATGAAACTTACATTTTGTGGCTACAATTTAATGTTACATCACTTACAAAAAAGGTTTGTTCAAATGTCCTATTGGTATACTTGCTGTAAATGAAAGATAAGTGAGTATACTTTGTCTGCTTTGTATGTACTTACCAGAGATGTACTTAAAATCAAGCTAAGTATATTTGGTCTACTTAAAGTGGGCTACAATTTAATGTTACATCACTTACAAAAAAGGTTTGTTCAAATGTCCTATTGGTATACTTGCTGTAAATGAAAGATAAGTGAGTATACTTTGTCTGCTTTGTATGTACTTACCAGAGATGTACTTAACAAAATCAAGCTAAGTATATTTGGTCTACTTAAAGTAGAGTTAAATGTTTATTTTAAATATGCAAACCAAAGCTGTTAGTATATTTAAATTGTAAAAATAATATAGGATTTATATACTATAAGATGTTAAGTTCACTTCAAAGACTAAAAGGTGTCCTAAAAGCTAGTAAACTAACAGTATACCTATAAGTTCAAGCGTAGTCTAGTTGCAGTATAAAAGAAATCACGCAATAAAACAAGCAGCTCGTTACCTGCACTACTGATATATGTCCATGTAACACAGCGAATGTGAGCGCCACCCAGTGGCGGCTGTCTTGATGGACTGAAGGGTGTTTGGGAGAGCAAACGGGTACCTGAACACAAAAGACCATCAGCTTTCATACAGGCTGTAGTGCTAAATAAACATGTAACAAAAAAAGCATTCACAGCATGAATTTTTTTTTTATTTATTGAAACGATCTGACACACACTGTGTCCCAATTCAGAGGCTGCATTCGAAGCCTGAATGCATCACAGTGGCGTGACAAAGGCTGTCTAAATTCGAAGGCTCCTTCAAATGCATCTTTCATTTCCCCGCCATGAAGGATTTAACAGACGGATTTTTTGCAGCCCACACTGTCCCAAGATTCCTTGCACGCCGGTGACGATAAGATTTTTTAAAGAAAATGCCAGATTACACTTTTTCAAGTAAATTTGCTTCCTTCGACGGAATCAGCGTCTGAATTGGGATACAGCTATATAATAACAAGCTAGATTGTTTATTATTATTATTATTATTAATTGTTTAGCTGCTGTATCTTTTTTTCTGTGAATTTAGAAGGTTAGGTGAACGTAGTTTTTTTTCAGTTTGATGCTGAACAATTCATTTGTTAGAAATATTATAGATATAACATTTCTAATTTGTGGATTGTTTTTTATGCCTTAAAAAACTATTCTAAAAAAATTTTGAAAAATTAAAAAAGCATAATGTTTTTGTTCAGAGCAGGGTTATTATAGTTCGCTAAAACTGAACTAAAACTAAAACCATAAAAAATAAACAATCAAGTTGCTTAACTTAAAAAAAATAAACAATCAAGTTGCTTGAAATGAACATTAACTGGGGGGGAAACTCCTAAACCTACTTTATTTCAGCTAGTTGCTTCTTTTTTTAAATAAAAAATAAAATATCAAACTTTACCTAAAAATGAAATATATATATATATATACAATTTAAAATATTAATAAAAACTATAATAATATATCAATGATACTTAAATAATGCTGCTTTAGAGATTTGATCTCTTTATAAAAAATTAACCAACCCCCCTTCTTTTTTCATTTTTGCCCAAAGAATCATGAAAATTCAGTTTCACTAATATTATTATTATCATTATTATTATTTGTAAATATTTAATCAACATTTAATCACAATGAACTTGGTTTATACAGGTCTTAACATCCAAAAACAGTGACAGACTAGGAGAGTAACTGGTGGTCCATACCGCTACATCCAGATTGGCTCCAGCATCAATCAGCATTTGGACTAAAGCCTCGTCTCCAGCTGAGCAGGCGTACATGAGTGGGGTCATACCCTACACAGATGCACAGAGAGAGAGAGAGAGAGTGTGACATCTGGATCCAAAACATGATATCAGTGTAACCGAGTGATGTATAGTTTGGTCTTTAGTGCTGACAGGTGCTCTTAATGTCTGGTTTGTGGTTCTGAGTTCACCGTACCTGGTCATCCATGCTGTTGACACCGTCTGGCCCAAGCAGCTCGATGGCCTGGCCAATCAGGTCGGTGCGGCCGCAGTTGAGCATGCGGAAGCCCAGGTCCAGCTGGAACTTATCTGTGGCGGCTTTGGCATCCAGCCGCCTGAAGGAACTAAAGCAGCACTCGGGCCTACAGAAGAAGAGTTAGAAAACACGCATGAAGGAAAAGGAGGACAGTGAGGGAGTGAGTGGAGAAAGGGGTGGTGGGGTTCAGTGCATGCTTTCATGGGTGGAGTGCTGTATTTTCCTGAAGTGTTTTCAAATCATTAAGTATAAGGCTGAGCACTTGAGGATCAGTAAAAATCTGAGGCTTTGCTGGAGGTCTTTGCAAATGTTTTAATGCAGTTTGATGGCAAGAGAAGCATGAGATCATGTTTCACGCTTCAGCGTGTATACATATATATATATATATATATATATATATATATATATTAAAGGTTTTCATTTGTTCTATGCTTCTGAAAATGTTCATTTATTATTATTTGAACATTTTTTGAAGATAAAGTTGCTACATAAAAGGCTGTATGTTCTAACTGGTTGCTAGGGCGTTTTTATGCACTTGCCAAGCTGTTCTAAGTGGTTGCTACGGTGTTTTGGTTGCTTGGGCATTGTTATATGCAGTTGATAAGCTGTTCTAAGTGGTTGCTACGGTGTTTTGGTTGCTAGGGCATTGTTATACGCAGTTGCTAAGCTGTTGTAAGTGGTTGCTAAGGACTTCTGGTTGCTAGGGTGTTTTTATGCTGTTGCCAAGCTGTTCTAAGTGTTGCTAAGGTGTTCAGAGTGGTTGCTAGAGCATTTCTATGCCTTCTGAGTGGTCACTTCACATTTGATTCTGAGTGATTGTTTGGGTGTTATGCAGTTTATATGGTGTTCTGACAGGTTGCTAGGGCATTGCTTTTTGGATGCTATGGTTCTCTGATTGGTTGCTAGGGCATGGTATGTGTTTGTTAATCTGTTGCTCTGCAGTTGTTAAGGTGTTCTGTGGGGATAGTAGGGTGTTAATATGTAGTTTCTTGTGTGTTGCAAAAACATTCAGAACACAACACCTTACGGTAGCTAAGGTTTTTTAGAATGGTTGCTAGGGTGTTGCTGCGTGGTTGCTAAGGTGTTCAGAGTGTTTTTCGGTGTGGCTCTTCTTCTAGGGAGTTTTTGGTGATTGTAAAAGCGACCACCCTGTATTTCTCTCTGTTTTTCTGCTCTCTAGATGTGCTTCGTCTTCCTCAAAGCATTTTCTTCACTCATTTATCGTCCAGCAGGTATGAATGTAGGCTGGTTGTCAGTCAGAATGTCTTACTTCAGCAGTCTGGGCTCACAGTCCAGTCCGGGCAAGAGCAGCCGCGCCGTCTGTCTGACATCATCGCTGTCCACCAATAAGCTGCGGCGATGCTCCGCGTGAACGATGGCCACACGCATCCACTCCATCAGCGGGGGGAGGAGGAGGAACGGCCTGAGGATGGCAAAAAAACAAAAACAAGTTTGTTTCCAATCCACTGTTGTATTAATATTGCAACAATTTTCATTGTATTCATTGCTGTAAGTAACTACAATGGTCCATTGTTCTCTTGATGATACTGACAGGCATGAATTGATTTCAGATTTGGTATTTGACATTTACAAATTTTATTTTTCAAGATGTAAAATAATAAAAAATAAATGCCTTTTAGATTCCAGACTTGTTCCCAAAAGTGAGCTAAAACTGACTATACTATAAAATACGATTGTTTTTATATATAGATAATTATAGACCGTCTATAGTGTGTGTGCATGTAACAAGTCTGCTGAGATCCACAGTTGTGTAAAACAAGTTGGGCCACATCGCGCTAAATCTGCTAGTGTTTGTAAAGCAGGACTTGTGCAATAAGAAAGCACAGCTTTCACTGAGACGGCCTGTATCTTTCAGCAGCCTGTCATATCAAAGAATTCACGCTGAGAATGAGGTACAGCTGCTGAAGTTATCCTGTTTTCAGCAGCTCATGCACACACTCCCTGCAGACATGAATGTGTTTGTATGTGTGCGAGCTTCTTGACATGAGGACAGATATTGGCTATTTACTGGAGGACTACATTTCACAATAATAATTCCGAGATTTGACAGGTTTCAGCCTCTGAAAGGTGAAGCAGAGGTGAAAAAGCATAGAGAAAATACACTTTAAAGTGGGTTGTGTGACTCAAATTTTGACTCAAATTGAATACACCTTAGAAAAAGTGGCTTTCAAAGCCAATATTATTGTAAACTATTGTGAAATACACAGAAACAGAAGGTTTTACCCAAAAAGGAACACTGGAGGATTTAATAAGCATGTCTTGGTCTTTCAAAAATTAAGAGATTAATATATATATATATATATAAAAACAGTGTCAGAACAAATTCATCTTGATAATGTCAGATAACACTTAAGCAAAACATGGTCAAGTCAAAGTGTCCAAATGTTTATCAATTTTACTGTTAGTCCACTGTATGAAGGATTGTTCGGTATAATATGTCACAGTTTACTTTATTTTGCTATCCTCACTTACATAAATGAACTATAGTGTCCTGCACTCACTAGTAAAAAAAATATCAAAAATTATATCTGGTGTCTGAATGATTTTTGGTTTGACTGATAATATTCACTGTATTATTGTTAGTATTGTTAATTTTTTAACAATCATCATCCACACACAAACACACACACAGACACAAAAGTGTATAATAATAATAATAATAATAATAATAATACGCTAATATTTATATATTTAATTTATTATTAATAATAATAATAATCATCATCATCATCGTGTTTTGGTCATTCTTCAAAAATAAAATTCTTAGATAAAAATATTGTATAATAATACTCTATTATTATTATTATTATTATTATTATTATATCATGTTGTTGTTGTCGTTATTAATTAATCATACAAAATTCATGTGTTTGGGTTCTACAAATAAGAGCTTATAGGTGGTCGTCCTTCAATAACTAATTTAATAAAAAACAAATATTGTATTATATTCTAATGTTCAATTTATGCTTCTACTTCTTCATAATAATAATAATAATAATAATAATAAATGTTTTGTCCATCCTTCAAAAACAAAGAATAAATAAAAATGTGTAATATACAAATATTCAGTTCATGCTTATTATTTTTTACTATCACTGATAATAAAAATAATAATAATTAAAAATAATTATCATCATGGGATATTCAAGTGTTTCAGTTTTGTCAGACCATCTTGCCCGTCCTTCAATAATTAAGAAAAATAAATAAATAAATAAATAAATAAAAATAGTGTATAGTAATATACTAATATTCAATTTATTAATACTAATCATCATCCAATGTTCAAGTGTTTCTGGTTCTAAAAAGCAACAGTATGAATGAAAAAAGAGATGCTGTTTGGTTCTTTAAAATAGGACTGAAGTGAAAACACCCTGAATGTATGCACTCTCACCCAGGGGTCAAGCGGTTGACCCCTGCTGGTTGATATCTCAACTACACTGAGATAGTTGCATACTTCTGATGGCCCTGTGGCAGCTGAACAATTGCCATTGAGGTGAATGGAAATGCTTACAAATAGCTTTCTTCAGATAATATAGACCTCCTTTACTGTCACCATCAAAGGCAATTTGTACCAAAAGCGGGTGCATAGTGTAACTGTTCAGATGCACCACCATCAGTTAGCTGTATTTAGCATCCAAGTCAGCCTGAACGGTGAAGTATCTTCACCAGACACTAATACAGGTACAGCATCCCCTTCCCAAATCATAATCTAATCTTTTTCTAAGTAAAACCCTGATAAGAAGATGCGGATACCCACAGCTAGTAGTACTGCTGGTTTTTCATAACGTCTCCCCAGCCTTCCATCCCCTCAGAGAAGGTGAGCTTCACATCGGATTTAGAGACGATAAGAGAGTGGGCCCCCAGATCGCTTGATGCACAGCAGGAACACAATGACGTCAAACAACAAACCAAAGAAGTCCCACCGAGAGTCAGCCTGGCAAGACATGCAAATGAGATGTACCCGAGAGAAGCGTGAAGCTCATTAAACACACAAGATATGCGCAACAGAGAAACAAATCTCCTGAAACCTACAGACACGCTCAACCACAACAAACAGATCAACTCTGCAGATGACAGCTTGATGGGAGCCATTTTGGCTCAAAAGGAAAGACAATTAAAATTCTGAAGTCAGCTTTCAAGTGTGAAACATCTGAAATAGTTGCATACTTCTGATGCTGATGAAAGCTAAATTTAGAGAAGCTACATTTAAATTTTGAGGGAGGATATGAAAAGACACCGCATCAAATCATGGTTTGTTTGTCAGGTGTTTTGCTAGTGATCAGTTTGTTCCGTTTATGTTGTATTCTCAGTGCTGCCACAAGGGGTGCAATAGCGGACAGTAGCATACAGTAGTGTTGTCTTCTACAGGGTAATAATTTTAGTACATCTTCATAAGCAAGTTAAAAGTTCACATGTTGAAAATTTGAAAAATAACGTGAATTTGCTGTTTCACTCAAAATTTGGTTTAGAATTTGGTGTTTCACTCAAATTGTGGTGGTTCACTAAAAGAACTGGTGTAGAATTTGGTGTTTCACTCAAGAAATTTGGTGAAGAATTTGGTGTTTCACTCAAGAAATTTGGTGAAGAATTTGGTGTTTCACTCAAGAAATTTGGTGAAGAATTTGGTGTTTCACTCAAGAAATTTGGTGAAGAATTTGGTGTTTCACTCAAGAAATTTGGTGAAGAATTTAGTGTTTCACTCAAAGTTTGTTGTAGAATTTGGTGTTTAACTCAAATGTGGTGGTTCACTAAAATAACTGGTGTAGAATTTGGTGTTTCACTCAAGAAATTTGGTGAGGAATTTAGTGTTTCACTCAAAGTTTGTTGTAGAATTTGGTGTTTCACTCAAATGTGGTGGTTCACTAAAATAACTGGTGTAGAATTTGGTGTTTCACTCAAGAAATTTGGTGAAGAATTTAGTGTTTCACTCAAAGTTTGTTGTAGAATTTGGCGTTTCACTCCAAATTTGGTGTATCACACAAAAAGTGTAGAATTTGGTGTTTCTCTCAAAATCTGGTAAAAAAAATGTTGGTATTTTACTCACAGTTTGGTGTTCACTAAAATATTTGGTGTTTCACTCAAGAAAACTGGTGAAGAATTGGGTGTGTCACTCATAATTTGTTGTAGAATTTGGTGTCTCACCCAAAATTTGGTGAAGAATGGGATATTTCACTCAAAATTTGGTGGTTCACTAAAATAATTGCTATAGAATTTGGTGTTTCTCTCAAAATGTGGTGTAGAGTTTGGTGTTTCACTCAGAAATTGCTAGTAAAATTTCACAAACAATAACAAAGAACTGGCAAGTAACACAATGAATTAAATGTGAAAGTAGAAAAACTGAAATAGGGTAAATTCAGGTAAACTGAAACAGTTTTTGGGACGACAGAAAAAAATGTCCCAATTAACCTAAAGTAACCCTAGTATTTCATGTGATAAGGCCTCTAACGTGACTAGATTACACCAGAGATGTGTAACGGTGATTCAGAGTTCACTACTGAGAGGCTGCTTCCTTCGCTATAAACATATATAATGCTGAAGCATGTCTCTGAGTCATATACAAACGCTAGCGTCTGGCGGGCAACTCTATGGCCGCTGCATATTAAACGCTGTGGGTTTCAAGGCAGGAATTTCTCGTGGTTTGGCAGAGGATGATGATTAATCCCAGCATTATTGAAAAAAAAAATACATATATGTTTTAAAGAGGTTAGTACTAGACATGTCAGACTAACAGCCAACAGCATTTTTTTTTTGTCTGGCTCACTTTTTTCAGCAGGTGAGATAAAACAAGGCCAAACAGAAATAAAATACATAAATGTTTTAAGAATCTAATACTAGACATGTTAGTGAACCATTTTTGTTTAGTGTGCAAAGAGACCTGACATAGTGGTGTACTGGTATACTTATTCACAGAAATATGTATTCTTAGAAGTAGTTGGAAGTTTCTAAAATGAGGTTCAAACAAGTTCACTTAGTAGTTAACTACTTTGAACTCTGAAGTTAACGTCATCTTAATATGAAAATGTTCGCCAGTTAGTCCGTATGTAAGGATGTGTCTTGTCTTCTCTGTCCTGATCTGGGGTCAGCGTACCTTCCACCCCTCTCATCTTACAGTGCCTCCTTGATGTGCGACCACTTACCACCCAGCACTCCCATTCACCTTTCTGACCCTTTCCTCCCTCTCTCTCCACCCACTCAGTAGGAGACACATACCCGTCATAAATCAACCTCTAGCTCACATATTCAAATTTCACTGGATCCGTAACACCCCCTTTCCATTTACAGGCCTCTGTTAGGACCACACAGTACGCATGTGTGCCATTGTGGTTTCAATTCAAGCAAAGGTTTTATAGACTTTGCAATAGAAGGCATGTTGAGGAGACCGGGCCTTTACTGTAATTACTGCCAGGACTGAAGCACAACCTGTATCCTATTCTGCTACTCCACCACGTACACAGGCTCTTAGCAATATTGCTGGAAATCTTTCCTGGCACGATCGTTAAGAAAAATTCATGATTGGAGTCCTGGAGTCGGCAGTAAGGCTCCATTGTTGTTTTCCACTTAAGTTTGTTAATTGAAGGTCTTACACAAGCAAACCAGCTGTAGCCAAATATCAAGATTTGCCCTTTACTTACTCAACATACAACCTGATATTTGCACACATACATATACACACAATCACAACATGTGTACAATTGTGCTTGGCATTCAGCAGCAACACATCAAAGAAGGAAACAAACATCTGAGCCCATTGACGAAGGCCTGGATTTACTTTGTTTTTGGATGCAGCAGTAGAGCTTCCAGAAATTGTTGTACCTGTGTGACTCATTTATCATGAAAGTAGTTGTTTTTGGGCTGATTTTGCTCAAGTGTATTGCATTTAAACGTGAAATGTATTACATGTCAAAATAAGGCATCTCAAAGAGTTCACAAACAAGAATGTTAGCTAAGAAGCTAACTAAAAGTTGCAATGCTACATCTATCAGTAGCATGACAGTCATTCAGATGTTTTCAATATGCGTATTGTGTAGATTTTCCAGTAACTAGCTACTTTTTTCTAGGAAGTAACAGACAAAATGCTACATTGCTAATATTTAAGTCCTGCTGAGTGAGCGGAGGCAGTGAATTGTCCCTTAAAATGGCTTCAATTAAGCTTTTGTTATAGCTGACTCCTTTTTCAAAATTCTAACTACTGTTGTTTGATTGCCTCAAATTAAAGTTGCTTTTAGCTTGCCAATTAACTGCCTCAACACAGTTACACCTAGTTTTTGTGTCCCACAAACAGGCATCCTTCCAAAAGCCAATATTTACAGTACACCTGTAACTGAACCCTGCATAATATAAACCTTCGTAATTACCTTTAGCAAGCAGGTAATACCCTGAGGACATCCTTGCAGCAAGGCAGGACAGCTAATGACCCACTCTAAAAACCAACCTCTCTTTAAGAACAAATTACAATGAACTTCCAGGAAACAGCAGCTGGAAAAGGAGTTTAAGGAGCTCCTCACATTTCCACTATATCATTATCAGCTTTAAAGTACCTTCAGGCTGTGTGATTTCTAGAGTTTACTTACATATCAATGGGCCATTAGGGGTTTGGGCTGTTAATTAGCTTAGCACCCATTGTGTGAATTGGAGACTGGATTAATGGGAGGGGAATAGTAATGAGGCTCACCTTTCTTTGCTCAGGGCCATCCTGGGCGGATCCAGGTTGGGGTTCTCCATGGACTCCATCTGAGGGCATCGCAGGAAGTAGTAGAGAGTGTGGAGGGCATCTGGAGACCAGGAAACGGGCTGCTGGCGGGCATGACGTGCAGGACTGAGCCCGTGACGAACAGAACTGAGGCGCTGCATATGGTGCATGGCCCGTGACACCAGGTCACCTGATGATGACAAACAATGGATTCAAAACTTCAGATATTTGATTCAGAGCAGTCTAATAAGAGATTAATCTAATTTAATAAAATGCACTTTGTACATAAAATGTCTTGAATACACATTGTCTATGATTATTATTTTCAAAGTTTTTAATTACAACTTTTTTGTGTGTGTGAGCATAAGGTCAAAAATGTCAGGGTGGTCCAACTGTCCTGATATCATAATGAAAAAAAAGCCTCATTAATAGAATGAAAGAATTGAATTTTTTGTTAAGTCACTGAAACTGTTAAATCATTATACAAACATCTGAAAAATCCAAGTCATGTGGTGCAACCACCATGGAGAAAAAAGTATTTATTTATCACGTTTTTACTCGATGGACCGAACAGAAGAAAATGAATCGGGGAACATTTCCATCTCAAAGAAGGCGGAGCCCCAGACCAGTGGTAGTTTGAAGGTGTTTACCAACTGGAGCAAACTTTTCCAGAAAGTTTGCTTTGGTAAGCCGTTTCAAATTCCTGAAACAAATTCCAAATGAACTTCGTTTTGGCCTGATTTTGTTCGCAATGACGTCACATCAGTTCATCTTGGATTCCACTTCGATTTTGCTTACCTATTACGTAATCGGCATAGACCAGTGGTAATTAGAAGGCGTTTACCAGCTGGAGCAAAGTTTTCTGTAAAGTTTACTTTGGCTAGCTGTTTCAAACTCCCACAACAAACTCCAAACGAACTTTGTTTTGCCCTAATTTTGTTCGAAATTATGTCACATCAGTTTTTTATTTTTTTATTTTACTTGCCTATTACATAATCACTATAGACCAGTACTAGTTTGAATTCCACCTTTTCCTTAAAGTTTGCTTTGGCAAGCTGTTTCAAACTCCTGAAACAAACTACTAATGAAACTCGTTTTGGCCTAATTTTCGAAATGACATCACATCAGTTTGTTCTTTGCTTGCCTATTACATAATCACCAGTGGTAGTTCAGAGGTATTAACCAGCCAGACCAAACGTTTCCATAAAGTTTGCTTTCGCAAGCTGTTTCAAATTCCCAAAGCGAATTCCAAAATAACTTTATTTTGGCTTGATTTTGTTCGAAATTATGTCACATCAGTTCATCTTGAATTCCACTTTGATTTTGCTTACCTATTACGTAATCGGCATAGACCAGTGGTAATTAGAAGGTGTTTACCAGCTGGAGTGAAGTTTTCTGTAAATTTCACTTTGGCTAGCCATTTCGAACTCCCAAAATGAACTCCAAACAAACTTCGTTTTGGTCTGATTTTGTTCGAAATGACATCACATCAGTTCATCTTCAATTCCACTTTGACTTTGCTCACCTATTACGTAATCACTATAGGCCGGTGGTAGTTTGAAGATGTTTACAAGCTTGAGAAAACTTTTCTATAAAATTTGCTTTGGCAAGCTGTTTCGAACTCCTGGAACAAACTCAAAATGAACTTTATGTCGTTACTTCAGTTCGTTCTTTGATTTCGACTGAAATATATATGGGCCTTACGGCTCTAGCCTTTCAAACATCCCTCTAAAATCAGATTGAAAGTGCTACCAACAACAGAAAATTTTTCACATCCCAGACTTGTTTTGTGGGACCAAATCCTACATTTTAGTTTGTGTAGTAGATGCCCCATTTGCATCCAGCATTCCAGGGCAGCTGAGGACGTATAGATGCCCCACTGTCCGCCGGTCTCCTGGGTACAGCTGGATCAAACCTACATGAGAGCCCATGAGGAGGCGCCAACATCACAAGCGGTGCACAAAGAGAGCTCTCACTAAATTCATTGAGACTGTGTGTGATTGCTAATGTCCTTCTGAACGTTTGGCCTGCATGAACGTGCCCTTGTGCTGTGGGAGACAAGCAGCAAAGTGTTCGGTTTTTGCAGTAGGAAATTCATGCCTTCTACCGGTAAGCCACCAACCATACCACCGGTGGGCCTGTGGCATGATGGGTAAACACAGGTAAAACCCATGCCAACAAAGGAACTCCTTCACGGCAATATCCCATTTTCAAATGTAAACTTGTGTGAGGAGGGAACCAAAACACTGTACAATGAACCGACAGTTAGACTTTTGCTGAATAAGGCACTGTAATCTTTGTATTTTCCACTTTAACGTTCAGCTAAATTGCATTTGTTCAGCTTTCCGCTTATATAAAATCCAGTTCAGACAATACATCCCAGACCAGATGTTGCTTTTATCAAGGGAACTGTGTTGAAACAGACATGCTTTCAGTGCATGAGACACTGGAAAATCTTCCTTCAATCCTGATAGAAGAGTTTCTAATAACCATAACATCCTGCAGGAATTATCTAGAATAACAGACATGAGGCACTTAAGGCACCAAAAGACTTTTAGTTGACTTCCAGACTCTTTTTGTGCCTTTTTTTCTCTATTTCCGTCACAGATCATTCTATTTACAAAGCAAACATGCCTCCTCTTTGGGAACGACATAGTGGTGTTTATTCATAGCATAAAATAATAGGCTAATCAGACCGGAAAGATAAACAGCATCCACATTATCTCCTTTTCCATGTTGTGTTTGCAGGGATAACACCAAGCAATTGTGTCTCTATATGAAACTTGCTGCAATCTTGACTCTGTTGAGTGTCAACGCGAGCACTGTGACAGGTAGTGGCATACCTAAAATAGTAAAATTGTGTAGTTTATAATTTGCCATATGTATATACGATTTTGTATCAAAGTTAGCGGTGTAACGATACACTTATTCATATTGAACCGAGGCTTTCGTTTCGGTAAGCATTACAAACACTGTGAATTTTGTGAACCGTTACACCCCTAATCAAAGTATATTAAATAATATGTAATTTAATATAATAATATTATAGCATAATAATATAATTTCATTATTTTATGTTGCTTATACTTTGAAAATATATATATATGCAAAATAACATGCATATAAATAGTATAAGTATATAAAATATGCGAAATTATACGCAAAATAAAATTTAGTTATTAGTTTTCATATTTTATATTTGTATGTATTTTGTGCATATTATTATTATTATTATTATTATTATTGTTCAATTTGCAATTGTGGAGGAAATTTTATTCTATATTCATATTATTAGTAGTGTTATTTGCTTTACTCTACTAAAGAGTGTTATTTCTTTTTTAAATGCCTCATTAATGTGCTTAAGTTTGTCATGAGATGAGAGATAACAGGAAATCTAAGTGCAAGACAAGGGTGAGACAGGAAAATATTATGTCAGCTTTTTAGATGTCCTGGCTTCTTAGAAACGAATCTGGAGGACATAGTTAGCCACCTTAAATGGACATATATGTTGAGTTAGGATGTTGCCTCTTTGTCACACTCTGTAGCCAATCTGTATGACTGTTGACCTTTTCTTGCAAGAAAATAAATCTTCAAAAGACTTTTGTCTCATACCTTTATTGAAATAGAAAATTGCCACAACAGCAATTTTTCATTTTGCCCTATTATTTAATGCACTATTATTTTCACTATTAACACTGAATCCAAATCTTAGCAATAACATTTTTAAACAAAATACAAAAAGCAAAGTTATAAATATAAAAAGCAATTTAAAATTGCATTCAATATTCAGGATGTGACATTTATGGTAAGCGTCAAACTGAAAGATTCCAGCGTGTCCAACTTTCTCATAAGCTGTAGCTTAAATGCGACCTTTCTGAGTTGTAAATGATTCAGTATGTTTCATAACGGACAGGAGAGAGTGAAACAGATAAAACCAAGAGTATGTATCAGACATAACAGACAGACAGGAAGGAAGTCAGACACTCACTTCTGGCTCCATATTTTGTGGATAAACTCCATTTATTTCAATCAGTGTTGGGAGTAACACATTACAAGTAATGTGAGTTATGTAATCAGATTACTTTTTTCAAGTAACTAGTAAAGTAACACATTACTTTTAAATTTACAATGAAATGCACACATTAGGCAAAAGAAAGCTGCTTGGTTTGAAAGTGGCTTCTGTCTGAGCGGTGCTTCATATATCCTTTTTGGTCATTTTTGTGAAATTTTGCTAATGTGGCCGCACCTTAATCCAAAACAAGTCCTTACAGTCTCCTTGACAGCCAATGCAAGAAATGGTCTTCTGTGGACATTAAACCAAATTTAAATGTAAACATGGAAATTGTCTATGGAGGGACATCTTGCCATTTTTTCCAAGTTCAGATACAAAATAAACTTTTCTTGTTCTACACAAAAACAGCGGTTCATTTGCCGTATTTACCACTTTCAAAACCGCAGTCTCTGACGAGATCAGAAAAACAAAGGCGCCATTATGATCCATAACCCCACCATAAACGTTAAAGCAATTCCAAACAAACTAATTCTAAAGTTTACATGCTTCAGGGAGGATCACACAAACAAATGTGAGAATTTGCAAGCTCAATAGATTCAATTCTGCGATTGTGAAACACTTTACGACTAAATCCAAATAACATACTAATAAACGTCACATTACATTTGAACAGAAATCACGAGAACAATAACCACTGGTGACTAGAACTGTGTCTTATTGTCTCCAAGGTGTTGTCTTTGATAACAGAGGTTGCACAAGGTTAGGACAGTCACTTCCTCTGTAAACATCTCCTCTCACATCCACAATACTGATTTCTAGAACAACCTGGTGGTTCAGTCTTGATGAGTTCATAGGAATTTCCCAGTTCTCAGAGTGAAGCAGCGTGTTCTACATTTTAATCTGACCGTCTGCCTAATTAAACGATTGCGTAAGACCAGGATGGCTTTTTTTAAAGCAATGATTTATAGCAGATAAAGAACTGTTAACAACATGAAATTATCTGCTCAGTTCTCTTCATATTTCCAGTCTTGTTGAGATGTTTTGGACTTAGTGAGTCATAGTGAGTTTTGTTTAGGTGACGGTCATGACTTCATGCTACACTTTTCTTCTCGAAATTTGTTTTTTTGCTGAGCCATCATTTGTTGATTTAGTTGAGTTGTCTCCAGTAGTGACTTCCTGTCCATATGGAAGGATCAGGAAAAACAGAGCGATCAAGGAAGGGGAAACTTGTGCAGTTAAGTTTCTCACTGGTTCTTTGTAGTCCTGGACAAAGCTTTGCTTTGGCCTTCAGGGTTAAGAGTCCTGCCAAGGAAAAGGAAACAAGCAAGGAACCCTACCAGAGAAGCAAAAACAAAGCAATATTGTTAGTCCTGTTTCTGATTTTTGGAAGGATCTTCATAGGAAAGACGGATCTCTATCCCATCTGTGAACTTGTTGAGGTCAATGGTTAGGATTTGAGGCTACACACACACACACAAAATAAAAAAATAAAAAAAATAAAAAATTCCACCTCTCCCTCCTTTCCCTAAAAAATGTTAGTTACAGTGAGGCTCTTACAATGGAAGTGAATGGGGCTGCTTCTTAATCATTTAAATACTTGCTGCAAGCAAAATCGCATACTTCTATTTGGTAGATACTACATTTGATGAAGGACTTACATCGCAACCAAAAAAGTATGTTCTATATGAAATGTGCCTGATATGTGTAGTGAATACAATTCATACATACTACATTTGTTATGTTGGCTTTGTCTTGTGCCCTACGGCATCAATTGTGTCACTTCGCTGCCATTCACGCCTCCTTTCCCATGGCCGCATGGGATAGTCAAGTTTCCATTGAATCTTGGCCGATGTAATAGGTTACTGGAGTCATTTTCGTCCATTGTTTTCCAAATATTATGTATTCGGACATACTACTCTTTTAGTGTACTGTTTTTCAAGTACTGTACAGTAGGGAAGTGTATGTTAAATATTTTGGGATACTGCATTAAAAAAAACACATGGGATGGTAACAGTGGTCATTCAAAAATGTTGTATGCTATATTCTAATATCACATACAGTTAAAATCGCACCTTTGGATGGAAAAGTAGCTAGTTTCAATACCACAGCCACAAGATGTAAACAACATGCAAGTTAAGATTATTTTAGCGTGAAATATCATTTACTAACCTTTTCTATGTAAAGTTCTATCCAATAGTAAAGTTTTGTCACTTTTAAAACATAATGCTGTAAACCCCAAACAGCTTTACAGCTTAAATAATACACAAGTTATAACATAAATCTAAGTGCTTTGATAAAATTATAAGCTTCACATTGCTGCTGTTACATCCTCCAAATATTGGCCCCATTTACGTCTACTGTGGTACTCAATACACCACAAATGCAGTCGATGGAGTTTAACTTGTACTA